AGTTGAGATAGGTATACTTTTAAGAAAAGTAAGAGGAAAAAAGAACTTCTGCATATTTTTTATGAAATAAAAATATTGGCAGAGATCAAGAGCAAAGGGAGAATATAGACAAATGAGAAGATGACTGTGTAGCTGTTGTTAATGCTAATGCAAATGAAATGAAATAGTATCGAAGTTGTGCCAGAAATCTGAACTGACCATTGTTGTATTAGGAATGATGTAGAAGAAGTTCACTTGAATTTGTCATTGATCCCATATAAGAAGCTATGTCAACAGATTTAATATTCATAGGAGAGATAAAATTTAGGATTAAAGCCAGTGGTTAATAATGATCTGTGTTTTTATTGTGTACTCAAAAAAAAGTGAGTACACTAAAATCGGTCAGTGTGTCCGTCCGTCTGGCCGTTTACACAATAACTTTTGAAAGGAGAGTCCGATTGCGATGAAATTTTGTACACAGCTTAGTCTTTAAAATATCTCGGTCGAGTTCGAAGATGAGCAGGATCGGCCGAGCCATTTTTGAGTTATAGCAAAAATACTGATTTTTCCCTATGATTTCCTATAGGTAAATCGACCTATCTTCACTTTCGTCAAACACTGTTCCTATCATAGTCAACTAAACCCGCAACTATTATATACCATTTGATAGAGAATTTCAACAGCTACAAAATGATATATAAAATATAAGGAAACAAGAAGACAAGCTCACCTATTGCAAAGATAATTAAATAGAAATCGGCTGTGTTGTGATCTACGCTCTAGTCGATCCACAAGTAGAGTTCTACATTGTGATCACGGAAGTGATAGTTCGAGTTTTTCTTCACAATAGCAATCGAGTTATAGAAAAAATGACTTTTCTGTAGTAAATCAAGGCAAAGAGTCCAAATCTGATCTGTATTCATCCTGAAATCTTATTGGTGGATTAATATCCAATAGAAATCAACATGAAGTACACCTAACTCCCAGATTTTAATCCGAAGTTTCTGCATTCATTTAATACAAAGAGATGCGAAATGAAAAATTGAACTTAAAAATTATCTTGAGAGTAAAAATCAAGTTGTTTCGAAGACAACGAAAAAGGCATTGTTTACCTTTCTTTTCAGAATAAAAATGGTGCTGCAAAGTCTCACCATGCTTACTATCTTAGTAATCTTATTAAGATGATCACTGTTTTATAAATATGTACATCAAAATCTTTCCTATGTAATAGAAAAATACATTTCCTTAATATAGTTTTGTGTTAATTAGTAAACCAAGAATCATGAAGCTTACAAAAGTGGTATGGTATTTAGCATAAAGGGTGTATAAGGATTAGTTAATATATTTATCTGATTGGACATATTTACGAATAAAATTTATGTTTAATTAGTGGGTAGAATGATTTAAGTACTTTATTTATATTAAAATTCATCAGTAAGAAAGCGGACTTTAGCAGAAAATACGGTTCCGTTTTCGATTTATAGATTTATACATAGTGATTGTTTTTCTATTTTGTGCTCAATACAAACTTCGATGAAGTATAAACAGATACTTCCATCTAATATTATATTTGATAGACACTTCATCTTTTTCTTTATCTAGCTCAATTATCATTTAAAGCTTGCAACCAACTTTGTTCTGTACTTTTCATTTTTTTTTCAAACTGAAAATTCATTTGGAACAAAATAGTTAGCCATGTATGAAACTTCGAATCAAATACTAGAATTAGATCTGTAATATAAAACGGGTGATACCGGTTTTTATACTTTTTTTTCATTTAGTATGTTTACATATGACAAAATTATCTTTTTTGTATAGGTCTAATATTCTTGTAAAACAAAATGTTCTAGTTTTTTTCTTCAAAGTTATGTTTCTAATAAATTTTTAAAAATTTCAAGGAAACAGAAGAAAAAATGTTCATTTATTATATGCTATCCCTTTTATTCGTATGTATGCATAGTTTCTAATAAAATGTTCATCTGTAATGTTTAAAAATATGTATGTTTTTGTTAATCCTTAAGTTTTCATAAATGAAACATGATTTTAGAGAAACATACTGGCATTAAACATGAAAAAAATTAACAGAGAAAATTTTCCACTTATTATGAAATACTACCCTCAAGTGAAAAGAGTTTAAGACAATCGTCCACTGCATGGGTGTTTTGTGATTTCCACTTGTGATTGCTAACATTAAGCTAACAATTTACAGTGAAGCTAAGTTATTTGAATATATTGAAAACTTACATAGTTTACGAAAATGAATACCGAGTATAAACGTCCAATAAAGAATCTATAAGCATTCACTCCTATATGTCTTGTTAAAATACGAATTCAAATGAATACATTAGAAAGAGACTTATACAAAAAAATTCTGAATGTGTCATTCTTTTTCTGTAATATTATAATATTTTTTGAGTTATATGCGATGGTTCTTAGTCTTGAGTTTTTTACATAAAAATAATGTATGTCACATTCATTTTATAAAAGTCAGAAAACTAACAAATTAATCTTTGTTGATATAATAAAGCGAAAGAGTTTCTTTCTATTTACTTGATACTATAAAGCGAATAAGGTCTCCAATCATAATTGAAAAAAATGAGCATCACTTTTTATTGTTTCCTTTAAACTAAACTATCTCATAATATTATTTCCTTATGTGAAAAATAAACAATAATTAGCAATCGAATGGCTCTATATTACAGAGGATACTTTTTATAGTTCGTATTTTATTCGTTTTTGTTTTCTTCTATTTATGCATTCAAAGAAAATGAAGTCAGAATCAAAGTCAAATAAAATATCATTGAAATTTTCACATAGAAAAGAAAGAAGACTATTCATTATCACAACCGCTTCTTAACCGTATACTTCTGTAGTAAGTTCTATTGTATAAAATTACAATGAAAATTCATTTTCTCTTTCTTCAGCTAACTAAATAGATATTTTCTTTTTCAAAAATTTGCTAAATCTATTAAAATGAAATCTAGTCATTGCACCCATTCTTCTGTTTTATGAAAAGAAGACAAAAAGACTTGTTTTGAATTCTAATTAAAATTCTTCCATTTTTTGCATATAATCCGCTTTATCATTTCTTCGGGAAACGCTGATGAAAAAGTAAGAGACCCTTTCCGAGGGAAATAGTATATACGGCTAAATTACAAATAAAATTATGATTTACTATGCGGATTTCCTTCGCGGTATATTCCAATCTACAAACCCTAATCCATACGTCCAAATTTGTACCTCATTATCTCTACGTTCTAACCCAAACGGCCAAATCAATATGTTCTTATTCATACGTCCAAATCTAAACGTACTAATCTGTACGTTCTAATCTATACGTCCTAATCTATACGTTCAAATCTATACGTTTAAATCTATACGTTAAAATATATACGACCTAGTCCATACGTCCAAATCCATACGGCGTAATCTGTACGTCCAAATCTATACCTCCTAATTCGCCCGTCCTAATCCGCAGGTCTTAATCTGTAGATCTAGATATATACGCCCTAACATTTATGCATCCAAATGTGTGTACATCTAAATCTATGCGGCTTAATCTGCACATCTGAATCAATACGTCCAAATCTGTACGTCTAAATCTTTGTACATCTAAATCTATACGTTCAAATGTATATGTCATAACACTTATAGCGGTGTGAGTGTGGATGTGGGTAGGCTAGGGCTGTGCGGGTGTGGATGGATGTGGGGAATGGATGAATGAAAAAGATAAAGACACACCCCACCAACACACACGCCCACACGCTCAGGATTACGACGCATAGATTTGCACGTATGGATTACGACGCATGCTTTTGGACGTATGGATTTAGACGTATGAATTAGGATGTACAGATTTTGACGTATAAATTAGGATGCATACATTTGGCCGTATACATTTGGACGTATGGATGTGGATGTATAGATTATGATGTATAGATTAGGAGGTATTGATTAGGACGTATAGATTTGGACGTATGGTTTAGGACGTATGGTTTAGGACGTATAGATTATGACGTACAGATAATTACGTATAAATAAGGACGTATATATTAGGACGTATAGATTTGAACGTATAAAATCGGACGTATAGATTTGGACGTATGGATTATGACGTTTGGATTTGGACGTATGGATTAGGATGTATAGATTTGGACGTGTATATTAGGACGTACAAACTACGACGTATGGATTTGGACGTAGGGATGAGGACGTACAGATTCGAACGTAAAGCTTCGGATGTATAGATGAGGACGTATAGATTAGGACGTTTACATTTCGCAGTATAGATTTGGACGTATAGATTATGACGTGTAGATTTTGACGCTTTGAGAGAAGCTACTATGTTCATATTTTACTATATATATGTATGATGACATAGGACGTAGTCCCTGTGTAGTGTTATATGCTTTTAAAATTATATTTTGTATAAGAAATATTATTGGTAGTTGAAATATGGCAGTCCGCTTCTATGAAATTAAGACGTACATTGAAATAGAGTAGTAGAGATTGTGGAGTTTTTGTTATCGTTTCCGATCGAAACGATAAACCAGATGGACTCATTTTTTGAAATTCCATCAATTGATGGCTTAAATCAATTTCAACCATAATTGTATGTTGTTCGTTCTTCGAGTTTTCATAAGTAGTGGAGTTTTTTATTTCAAAGATCTAATTCGCTTTTATTGAAATCAACAATAAGATGTTATCAAAAAATTACCACATCCTCTCATAAAACATCTTGTAATACGAACTACAACTTTTTCCTCTAGTATGAAATATGTAAAATGTTATTTTCGGACATTAGAAAACTAATGCTTTCTATCGTATACAAGAGACAGAAATCTCTTCGATAATGACGATTCTATTTTTTTTCTTCTTTGTCAATTGTAGTTTTTCCCAATATTCCAATCGATGCCCGTTGGTCACAGTATGGAAAAACCGTTGCTGGAGGGGATGAATATGGCGATGCCACAAATCAACTCAAGTGGCCTCAAGGTCTCTTCGTTGGTGATGATCAAACGATGATCATTGGGGACTACGGGAATCATCGTATCGTCCAATGGAAGATGGGTGATAAGAATGGGCAAGTTGTAGCTGGTGGAAATGGCCAGAGAAAGCGATTAGATCAATTGGATCAACCAATTGATGTGCTGATCGACAAAGAGACTAATAGTCTCATTATCTGCGATTCGTTGAATCAACGAGTTATACGATGGTCTCATCGTAGTGGCGCAACTCAAGGAGAAATTCTCATTGACAACATCGATTATCAAGGATTATTCATGGATGATCAGAGATATCTCTACGCCTCTAACATCGAAAAGCATGAAGTACGACGATATCAGATAGGAGACAAGAATGGAATTCTTTTGGCTGGTGGAAATGGCAAAGGTGGTGGTCTCAATCAACTCAACCTTCCGAGTAACATCTTTGTCGATCAGCAGCAGAATGTCTACGTGTCAGACTGGGGCAATCATCGTGTAATGAAATGGAATAAAGGTGCAAAAGAAGGCATTGTCGTCGCTGGAGGTCAAGGCCACGGAGCAGCTCTGACACAATTGTATCATCCTGATGGACTCTTCGTCGATACGTTGGGTACCATCTATGTGGCAGATCGGTTCAATAATCGAGTTATGCGTTGGCCTAAAGGAGAAAAACAGGGTACTGTCATTGTGGGTGGAAATGGTTACGGAGCAGGAGCAAATCAATTCAGGAATCTTATTGGTTTGTCTTTCGATCGACAAGGCAATCTTTATGTCCTCGATCATTATAATCATCGTGTTCAATTTTTTTCAATTGAATAAATTGTATTCGAGTTGAATAAATTGTTTTTTTTTCTTCATTGCTATTCACACGCGTGTGCGCGACCAGGAACCACTCTGGTGAAGCCACGGCGAGCGTCACACTCATCACGCACAGGAGAGACCCCATCTTATCCATAACACACCATCGTGAACGATGTTCATGGAGTCTACAAAGCCTGATCGTGTGCCATGGACACCAAAGCATTTCCTGGCCAGTGTTTAACGTCTAATCTGAGAAGACGATCTAAGAGAAACGGCTTAAATAACACCCATAACTCTCTCTCTTTCTCATACTAAGTAAATAGGAAAAAAACCTATACTTACATATTGTTCATGTATATTGAACATTTGGATGCGAGGCGATGACTATCTAAAAGAAAAAGAAGAAAAAAGAAATTATTTAGACATGTTTAAATTGAAAAAAACTTACTGTCTATTTTGTCAATTCATTGTTATACGATGAAGCTAAAAGAAAAAAGAAAAACAAGATATATTCAAAAAAATTAACAAGTTACATATTGCCAACCCATTAATCTTAATGATTTATAAAATTTAAAACATCAAAAACAAAAACAAATAATACCTACATTTTAATTTTTTAATTGATTGTTATTGACTTGATTAGTATTCTACCATTAAGATCAACTTAAAATATAAAAGAAAAGTTATTAGTTGGTTCATGTAAATGAATGATTTTTACATAGAACAGCATTCATTTATATACATGAAAGAAATTTATTTTTCTCTGGAAAGAAAATTTTCTCTTTTATCCCATCTCCAAAGAATTGTTATTGATAGAAACTATTAATTCAGCTTCATTCCAAATATACATATACATTGAGATAAATTCAATTACCAATATCTCAATGCATACATAAATGTAAAGCTTAATTGATTGAACACGTTACATGTATATGTCATATCGAAGTTAGCATGCTTATCGAAGTTATAACTGCGATGAAAGTGAGCTTATATAAGTTGTTTGAATGAAATAAAATAGGGAAAATATTGAATATTTCCATAATATTATTTAATTCGTTAACAACAGATCATTTTTCTACTAACAACAAACATTTTTTATATCTTTATGTTTTTAGTTTTCATTTAGAAAAAAAAAGAGGTAAAACGTAGAAAAGGTGATCATAAATATTGATTAACTATTCTCTTTCTGGTAGAGAAGAGTCTTAGAAACATAAATTGTTTGTTTGCTTGCTTGCTTGGATGTCCGCACAAGGTCAAAAAAAAATTTTATTAATATTTTCTAAAAAACTTAAACGAAGGGTAATCGGAGTCGAGGGACTCGAATCTGATATTAGTTTTTCAAAATTTTTTTTGGGTCAAGTTTTTTACAGAAAGGATCACTTTTTTGCAAACAAAAAATGTTCTACAAGGCTGATCGGAGGGTAATCGGGGTCGAGGAACTCGAATCTGATGTTACTTTTTCTAAATTATTTTTCAATCCATTTTTTTACACAAAGGATCATTTTTTTGCGAAAAAAATTTTTTTTATAAGGGTTGACCGAAGGGTAACCGGGGTCGAAGAACTCGAATCTGATGTTAGTTTTTCAAATTTTTTTTTGATGCATTTTTCACAGAAAGGATCACTCTTTTTGCAAAAAAAAAATTTTGTATGATGGTCGACCGAAGGGTATCGGGATCGAGGAATCCGAATCTGATGCTACTTTTTAAAAATTTTTTTGGATCCATTTTTTTACACAAAGAATCACTTTTTTGGAAGAAAAAAATAATCCATTGTGTGAAGAGGCAACTTGTTCAAAAATAGACAGTTTTGTGTTTAGGATGTAATAATTGGTAATTGTCCTTATGAAGAAAAATTTAAAGGGAAATCCATCTATCGGATAACAGGACCGAGCTTCTCCTAGGTCTCTTACCCTTCGTACCAAACATCCCTGTACTTCTCACCGATAACATCTCCTGTGAACTAGGACTCTCAAGCGGCACTCAGGGTATTTTTCGAGAGCTCATATACAATGATCAGGAGGAGACAAGTGCCTTCAAGGTACAAAGCGATGTGTTTCCCTCAAACACAATATACATACGAAAGCCATTATATGCGCTCGTGGAAATCAATACATCACAAGTAGAAACAGATCTCGATGATCTTCGTCCTAAACTAATTCCTATTCCATTAATTAAAAAGCGATTTACTGTTCCCATTGAGCAACTCTTCGGACATCTGTTTGAACAAGTGCAAGATGGAAGAAAAATTCCACAAGTGATTCAAGTTACAAGAACACAACTGCCAATCGTACCCGCCTTCACAATAACTACTTATAAGGCGCAAGGACTCACAATGAATAAAATTGGGGTCGATCTTCAAGTTCCAATTGGAACATTGCAAGTGGCATCAATTTATGTGCCACTCAGTAGAGTGAAGAGAGCGGAAGACATAGCTATTCTTTGGTCTTTCGACATGAAGGTTCTACAAGTTCTACCTTCTCCCACTCAGGATGCTGAGCTGAAACTTCTAGATGAACTTGACAGAAAGACACAGCGAGAATGTTTTTCTTTCACATTTTGAACGTGTATAAATAGATACTTTGCTATGTGTATAGTATTACAGCAAGTATATAACACGTATGATAATGTCAAATTGTTGTAAAATAATTATTCCTCTATATTCATTTTCTTTATTTAAATTAATATTAGTTATTGCAGTTGTCACTTTACTTTCGTTTATCAGATATTTTCTATGATATTTTTTCTTCGTTTCTTTCCTTATTGTCTTTCCTGTTTGATGTAATTATAAAGATCTTCCCATATATACTGCTACTTATTTGGAATATCTAATCCTGTATCCAAAATTTCGTATAAATACTTGCTGCTATTCATGTAAGAGTATCTAACTCAGATTATAAATAAACTTATGTATACAATAATGTATTAAAAACCTACCGTCTAAAAACAGTTCTTCTACGAGAAAGAGCTGAGCGAGTCTGCAGACGAGCGTTACTTGTAATTAAGAATAGAAGTATAACCGATAGTCATTGTATAGAAAATAACTGATTTAAGTGAAATATAAATCATGTATGGATCAGACATATTAAATTTCTTTCCAACCTGTGATGTCAATAATGCTATAAGTTCCATGAAAGAACATTTAATTCAAACTGATGGTTCAGCAGTTACTGATGAGAATATCTGAATGTTGTTCTTAAAACATTTACGCTATCTTGCTACTACAGGAGACGATGTAGATAAAGCCGTCCATTTGTGCACGGTTTCAGCATTAGTTGGGAATTGAGAAGACGTTTACATTGAGATTATGGGCAAATATGACAGCTACTTTGCGTGAGCATTTACTTGCGCTTCTGTTAAAATTGATCCATATATAATAATCCAATTATCAAACAGTTCTAATCGTAAAGATTATTAATCATATAATTAGCTCATATACCTGATTTTTACGTGATTCGTATTTTATTTAAATCAGTTATTTTCTATATAGTGACTATCAGTCTATACTTCTATTCTTAATTATGGTTCATCAATGCTTATACTCATATTTTCTATGATTCACCTCTTGTTTTCTGAGCGAAAACTAAAAAAAACTAAAAGTCAAAAAAAATTTTTACTCGGAATATTTGTTAATGGTTCATGTTTGTTGGATTTTTTCGTTAAAAAATGTTTCTTATTGATAAGAAAATGATCTATTGTTGACGAGATTAATAATATTACGGAAATAATCAGCATTTTCCCTATTTTATTTCATCCAAACAACATCTATAACCTCACTTTATCGAAGTTGTAACTTCAATGAAATAATTTATAGAAGTTATAAATTCGATGAAATATGCTTATCGAAGTTACAACTTCGATAAAATTGTTCATCGAAGTTATAACTTCGATAAGTATGCTAAATTCGATACGACATATGTATAATTATTGATCATCATTGTGTACATGATCAATATTATCGGATGAGAAAGAAAAAAAATAACATTTCCTCTCTTTCTCATTTACACGCACATTGTGTGGACAGAACACGAAAACAAAAAACAATATGGATGGATTCAAAGAATTTATTCTTTCAAGATAAGAGCATTTATTTCGAATATGCTATTCAGGAGGAATGCACTTTTTTGGTGTCCGAGAATAGATAAAAACATAGTCAGTGCAAAAGTTCTGAGTCATTTATTGAGATTTCTTTGTTAACCATTTTAGATTTAGGAATAATTTTTGTTTTTTGTGTACTCAAAAAGTGAGTACACTCTAGAATCGGTCAGTTGTCCGTTCGGCCGTCCGGCGGTCCGTTTACACGATAATTTTTGAAAGGAGAGTCCGATCGCGATGAAATTTTCTCCACAGTTAATTCTTAACAATATCTCGATTGAGTTCGAAGATGAGCAGGATCAGCCGAACCGTTCCTGAGTTATTGCAAAAATACTGATTTTTTCCTATGGCTTCCTATAGGAAAATCGACCTATACCCACTTTCGTCAAACACTTTCCCTATCGTAGTCAATTAAGTCCGCAACTATTATATACCATTCGATAGAGAATTTCAAGAGCTACAAAATGGTATATAAAACATAAAGAAACAAGAAGGCTAGCTCACCTATTGCAAGGATAAATAAATGAAGAGCGGTTGTATTTTGATCTGCACTCTAATCGATCCACAAGTAGAGTTCTGTTTTCTGATCACGGAGTTGATAATTCGAGGTTTTTTTTGAACGGAGAACCCGAATCTGTACTCTACTTGCTCTGAGGCCCCATTGGCTGAGTACTGACCAATAGGAATCGAGTTATAGGAAGAATGGCATTTCTGTAGTAAATCAAGGCAGAGTCCAAATCTGAGCTTTATTGATCGTGAAATTCTATTGGTGGAGCAATATCCATTAGAAATCAACAGTTTAGAGGGTGGATTCCCAGTATAATTTTGATGTCCACACATTCTAAGATGGCTGATTCTTTTGATTTACTTTTTGCAATACAAATAGATCTCGGATTTGAATCCGAAGTTTCAGCATTTTTTGTTAT